GCCCCCCCGCCGCGCCCCCCCGCCGCCCCCACCGTGACAAACAGCCCAGGCGCCAGCAGGCCGGCCTGGCGTTACGCGCTTCCCCAGGGGCCCCCGCTCCGCCTGGCCTCCGCTGCCCCCAGCCGTGCCCTGCTCCTCGCTCCCTGTGACACGCTTGGCATTTCTTACCGCTGCTGTATCCCCCTCCCCCTGCGCTCAGGGGAGGAGGTTGGGGGATGCGGTATGAGGTGTAATACCACAGAATCAATCATAGAATCCTAGGACTGGAAGGGACCTCGAGCGGTCATCGAGTCCAGCCCGCATGAAAAGTACCCAAAAAGTACCCCGTTTGGCACGCTGCACATGCACAGACCGCGCTGCGGGCTAAAATCTACTCACCACAGGGGAGTAGATTGCCCTAATTGCCCTTACTGCTGTCCAGATGCCCTGTGTATGGTTTCATGGGCCAGGGATACAAGAGGTAAGCCAGATCTCCCAGGATCACAATGGACATTTTCACATCCCCTATTGTATTATTGTGATCTGGTAAGAAAGTCCCTACCTGCAGCTTTCTGTACAGGTCAGGGTTTACAAAGAGTCATATGTCATGCACCTTTCCAGACCATCCTGCGCTGATGTCTGTGAATTGCCCATGGTGATTCACAAGCAACTTCTCAGTAGTGCCATCAAGAAGTATCCCTTCCTTTTGAAGTATTCTATGGCAAGGTAGGCTGGTGCTAAAATCAGAATATGTGTGCCATTTATAGCTCCCCACCCCCCACCCCACAGTTGGGCAAGCCACCACCATTTCTGGGGGACTGGGGAGGCAGTAGTCCCCCCTGAAATTGGAAACCCTGGATTTCATACTTGAGGTTTGCTTAAAGCCCATGCCCTGACTCCAGAGGCTGTTCTTAAATGCAACAGAGTTTGAGCTGCTTGCAGCTTTGTCTTTGGGGCAGGGAGTTTGCTATAAAAAGAGGGATGCAGGGTTATTAAGAATAACAAAAGGCTAAGCATTCATATAATTGAATGATTGTTATATCACCATGAAATCATTGCCAGGTACTCCACTTAAAAGATAGGGGGGGAAGGGGGAGGGGGAAAAGAGTAGGAGCCCGTGTTGTGCTTCTGGGATTTGCATTTTGGATCACTGTGTTACACTTATAAAAGTTCTTGAAAAGGAGGAGAACAGGGACTAATCCAAAGTTGACAGCAATGAGTTACAAAATGATTTCAGAAAACTGTGATATGAAACTCAAGAGCAAATGGAATTCAATGTTGATAAGTGCAAAGTAATGCACATGGGAAAATATAATCCTACCTATAGATGCAAAAAATGAGGGGGTCTAAAATAGCTGTTACCTCTCAAGAAAGAGAAATTGGAATCATTGTGGATAGTTTCCTGAAACATCTGTTCAATGTGCAGTGGCAGTTTAAAAACTAAAAAGCTAACCAAATATTGGGAATCATTAGGAAAGGAATACCTAATAATAAATACAATATTGCTTCTATATAAAGTCATTGTATGCCCACATCTTGAATACTGTATGCAGATCTGGTCACCCATCTAAAAATAGCTATCTAGGATTTGGAAAAGGTAAAGAAAGGGCAACAGAAATGATTAGGGGTAAGGAATAGCTTCCCTATGAATAGAGATTAACAAGGCTGGGACTTTTCAGCTTGGAAAAGAAATGACTAAATGGAATATGTTAGAGGTCTAGAAAATCATGAATGTTGTAGAATAATAGAATAAGGAAATGTTATTCATTCCTTCACTAACATAACAAGAAACTGACCCAATTTTTGGTGACTTCTGCATGATGACATTAATTTCCTTGACAAAATTTGGTAGTATAGACATACCCTCAGTTTAAATAACTTCATATGGACAGGGGTTCAAGTGTCAGAGCCCTGTGGAAGTAAGAGGGAAGGACAGGACTCCCAACTAGCAAAGTGTATGCACTTAAGGGTCTTTTGTAAAACTGGCTCAACCTGTTTCTCCCCACTGTTCAAAAAATAGAGCTAAAGAGGCTTTGTTCCAAGCCTCCTTTGTTATTTTTCAGTTGCTCAATCACAGCTGAAATCACTTGCGGCAGGACTGTGTTTCCGCCCAGGCTACACAGAGCTAAAATCATTTAAGAGACTGTCTGGCTAGGGCAGCTGGTGGGAGCAGAGAACAGGCAGCCAGTGGACAATGGGAGCAGATAGCAGGACAGCAGCAGGGAGACATGACAAGCAGCCAAGGGGGTGGGAGAAGAACTCTGCAGCTGCACCTCTGAATTCTAGGTTGCTGTTTCAGAATCTGAGGGGAAAAGGACACCACCCAACCTAGTTGGGCTGGGTCTTTTACTCATGGTTTATGCTTATTGAACTCTGTTTGTGGTGTTTTCTCAAATTAACAGCAAATTACTTCCTTCTTTTTATTAAAGTTTCTTTTCCATGCTCAGTGTTTGCGAGTGGTGAAATATTGCCTTTCAGAGGCACCCAGGGGTGATATGTAAATTTTCCTGCCTAGTCAGTGGGTCTCAAGCCAGTTCTGTGTTGATTGATGGAAAGGAACCCTTACATATTGAACCTGACCCTGGGTGCTGCTGGCTTTACCTAGCAGAAGGGTTGCACTTGGAATGTCCTAGGGAATTGATTCTTAAACTAGCATTTATGGACCCCTGGAAGCCCCCACTGAGAAACTCCTTTCCCTCCCTCCCAGCACCACCTACACACTAGGGAATCCTAGCATTAAGGAGGTGCTGTGAGAGAGCAGTAGAGTGGGGATGTTGGCTTTACACAAGCCCTAAGAGATTTAACGATGTCAAATCTGTAGACAAATTCCAGTTCTGCAGCCTCTCTTTGTAATTGGTTAGTGAAATTCCTTTGTAAGAGAATGACTACTTTTACATCCATGAATGAGTGACCAGGCAGGTTTAAATGTTCCCCTACAGCAGATGCCGTGTGCCTCTACATGCAGCCCGTGGGAGGCACATGGCAAGGCAATGGCAGAGCCAGAGTGAGAAAGGTCTGCACTGGGGCTTGAATATAATATAATGCCTCTACATGCAGCCCGTGGGAGGCACATGGCAAGGCAATGGCAGAGCCAGAGTGAGAAAGGTCTGCACTGGGGCTTGAATATAATATAATATAGTATATGGAGATATACCATCTCATAGAGCTGGAAGGGAGCTTGTGAGGTCACCAAGTCCAGTCCCCTGTTCTCACAGCAGGACCAAGTACCATCCCTGACAGATTCACCCCAGATCCCTAAATAGCCCCCTAAAGGATTGACTTCACAGCCCTGGGTTAAGCAGTCCAATGCACAAACCACTGAGCTATCCCTCTCCCCACTCAGCTGTTTGTTTTTTCCCGGACATGTCCTTGTTTTCACATGTTAAATCACCAACCAGACAGGTTTTTTAAAAGTCAAAAGATGTCTGATAAAAAGGGGATTGGGGAGGGGATGGTGGCACGTGTCTTCAATGGAACTTTTGGAGCCATGTGCCCAGACCATTCACAGTCGCTCTCTGCATGGGCCCCATCACCTGGAGGGAAAAGCGTGTGCCTCTGATGAGACCCAGGACATTACCCTCCACCCCACTAGGTTTATGTCCCAGGCTCTGCAGGAGGGAAAGGGCAATGGGTTAGAGCAGGGGGGTTGGGGAGTATCTGGCTCTAGAGGAGGGAGAGGGCATTGGACTGGAGCAAGGGTGTGGGGGTGCCTGGCTCTGGGGGATGGATGCATTGGGTTAGAGCAGGAGGATTTGGGAGGTAACAGGTGTGATGTAGTGGGGGTACCTGGCTGGTTTCTATGCTGCTGGCTCTGGGGTAACCCTCACTGGCTGCAGTTGGTACCACGGCCCAGCAAAACAGGATGAGTCATTATGCAAAGGGTGTCTCAACCTGTCTGACCAGCCATCCCCCATGGAGAGGAACAAAGGAAGGTGGATGCTGCCCTGGCTGGGGGGCAGGGCTGGAGGAGAGTGAGTTTAGTTTCGGTCTGGAAAGCAGGGGAGAAGGAGCTGGGGAGGGGGCTGGGACTCCCCCATCTCAAGGGGGGCACTGAGGCCTCTTAGCCCCAGTTCCTGTAACCTGATGACATCTGTGCTGTGCTGTATGATGGAGAAGCAATAAACTACTTCCATTCTACTGGCTGGGGGAGTCTGTTTGTGCCATTTCGGGGGTGCAGGAGACGGGGGACCCCAACGCGTCGTCACAACAGGCTCTGGGGGAGGAGAGGCGCATTTGGTTAGAGCGGAAGGGCTGGAGGGTTCCTGGCTCTTGGGGGGCAGGGTGCATTGGGTTAGAGCAGGGAACTGGGTATTAAAACTTCAGGCTTCTTTCCTTTCCTGTAGGTGGGCGGTGGGTCTGTTCATTAGATTTGGGGGTTCCAGTCTCTGCTATGTGAGGACTGTGGGAGCTGGTGCTTGGTGGGACAGGCAGGGGAAAGGAAGGGATTCTGGGAAGCAGGATTCCTGGGTTCCTTTTCTAGCCATGCCACTTCTCCTGTCGGTGCCTTTAACTTCACATTGATTGTACTTATATTTCAGTAAATATTGTATTGGCAGTTTTTGTTTGATTTGTTAAAATTGTGAAGCCAAAAGAAAAAAGTAATCAATATAATGGTCTTCTGTTGATATGCGTTTTAGTAGTTAAATTC